CGTGGCGCACAGCCAGCCTCTCTGTCGTCCGTGTCGGAATGTGTGCGTTGGCTTAAATATTTGATTTCGCAGCGCTTGTTTGAGTTGTTATGCTTAAGGTCAAAGGTAATTGCAGACTCGAGTGTTGCTACTGCTGCTGCTGCTGCCAATCAGTCTGTCTCGCTCTGGCAAGAACATGCACAGCGCTTGTCAAACTGTACAGCTGCCTCAAATGTTATATATAATAGCCAAACAGCAACACACATACAAAAATGGATTTTGACATACAAGTGAATATAATTCGGTTTCGCCTGAAAGCCTCACTAACAATAAATACATGAGAGCAACAACAATGACAAGCTAAAGCAATTAGTTTAATGTAATTCTCGCTCTTTCACTCACACATAAACACACACACACACTTGCTCTCTTTTTGTCTCCGTCTCTGTCTCACTCGTTTTCTCTCTCTCGCTTGGACACTTTAGCGCTTTGGGCGCTCAATGCGAGATGAAGCGCCAGCGAAAGTTGTATGTACCACAAATGAAATTATAGTCATACATACACACACACACATACGCATATACGCACACACACACACACACACACACACAGTGGCAGGCCACAGGCTGTCGCTGCAATTTGCGCGTCGACAAAAACGTTTGCTCCTAAAAGCATGCCACACAATTTTCCTCGACTCCCAATATTGCCGCCCTCATGCTGTTGCTGTTGCTGTTGTTGTTGCTGCTCATCGCTTATCTTTTGAAGCTCACCTGCCTCACTTTTAAGCATTTTAACTTGGCTGGCAGAGGCGAAGTCGCCGTCGTCGTTGTCGGCATCGGCAACGCTGTCATGCACATTAACCAAATAGCTGGCGCCTTGATTTGATTATCATGTTTTTTCGCCAGCACTGAGCTCCAAGCTCCAAGATTGCCGTTTGACAAGCAACTTTATCGACAACAACAACAACAACAGCAGCAGCAGCAGCAACTGATTCGCGGCATCTGCCGCAGGCTGCACAAGTTTGATTATGTCCCGGAAAGGATATTTATTTTACTTTTCCTTCTTTTTATATTTTTCTCTTTTTCTTTTTCTTTTTCTTTTTCCGCTAACCACATAACAATAAGCATATTCTTCATAATGTTCAGGCAGCGCATTATTGTTATGGCTAAAGAGTTGTATGTATATGTGACCATGGAGCACATGTGCATTTATAAATGTTACTTAACGATTTGAGGTATCTTTTATGGGCTTGTATAATGTGAGCGGAGAGAAAAATTCAACACTTCTGTGGGATTTTATTGCATTAAAATGACCATGGAGGATAATAATTTGGGAGATTACAAATGTCTTGAGCTTGAATGGACCGCGTAAAAGCGGCAAGCTTAAGAGCTAAACAGCGTTCCTTTAGGTAATATCGAGAAGCAATGACCTTGAATATTAAAGCATATTTTCATTGACTTGAAAGGAAAGACGTTTAGACAACCATAATTATTTATAAATTAAAAATTTATATTTTTATTTGAAATATTAAAACACCAAAAATTATTATTATTATTTATTTATTTATTTTTTATTTTTTGATTATTATTAATTTTTTACATCCAATCTATACATA